TGGCCCCCCCCCCCCCCCCCCCCCCCCCCCCTTTTCTCTGAAGGCCTGTTTGCCAGGGAAATGCTCTCTTTTGTTTTCCTGCAGCTCTAACATCTGACAACACAGACCTGGAGCAGGGCTCAAAGGGTTAATACCACTTGCATGTGAGTAGGGAGCAATCCCTGACATGGTCTAGGGTAGCCACATCCTCCTCTGTTTCCTTCAGAGGTGTTATGCTCTTCATGTGTTAACCCATCATTATCTGATGTGATGTAGGCCAGAGGCTGACCGTCGTTGCATTCAGGAAGCCTAATGGGTCCATTATTGGTGTATAGGAACTGCTTTTTATTGGGAAATATTTTGAGGTTCTTGACAGTTGCCGACTTGAGGGACTCATGTTAGAGCAACCTTTCTCGCCCTCTTTACTCAGAAGGAACCCTTGAAATAATTTTCAGACCTTGAGAACCTCTTGTAAATTATATTTACAGCTTGTGGTACATTATGGTGATCGCTTGGTTGTAGCTGTAGCAATAAAGGAATAACAATAAGCATGACTTGTACTGATGAGGAAGTCAAGAAAAGAAATACTGTGAAAACTTTGTATCTTTACTTTGGTGGTGGGTGAGAGAGGTAGGTTGGTAAGGGAAGAAGGCCCCCCCCTTCCATTGGCGGCAAGGAGGCCCTTCTTCCATGCAAGGCAAGGAGGCCCCCCTTCCATTGGCAATGTCTGAGAGAGGTACCCTGGTATATTGATGATCAGTGGGAACAATGGCCTATTACATTGGTAAACAGTGGAAAGAATGCTCCTTTCATTGGTTGACAGTGGGACAAATACCCCCTTACAGACAGCTGAAAAGGTTACTTACCTGACCCTACACTGTTGGCTCTGTTGCATGAAATCAGGCTGGAAATTAGTGATAAACTTGGGCTTGGTGTGAACCCAGTTCGCCCAAGGCCACTCAAAACTGACTGCCACCGCTCCCTTTCTGCCCAATTAGTTGCGGAGAGGAGCATTCCCTGCTCCACAACGATACATCACAAAGGGGCGGGAATGCCACTGCCACCTCTGAATGGGCCAGGAGGAAGGTGACAGTCACAGTTTTGAGTGGGCTTGGCTGAACACACGCAAACTGGGTTCACACCAAGCTCAGCCTCATTAAGACACGGAAATTGATCCACTACTGCTCTCTTCTCAAGGAACCTCTTGCAAACTCTGGAGGAACCATGGGTCTCCACAGAACTCTTGTTGAGAAAAGCAGAGTTAGATTGTGCAAATTGGGTCAAAAATGTCCATTACCATAATAGTTTTCATCAATATTGCTCACATTTGGGCATATTCAGAATTCAAATGTGTGCTGCAACCTGTAGCAACCAATCAGTACTATCTCTGAACTTCCTAATGTGAAAATAAATCTAGTAGCTATGGGTTGCTGTAGTTTGTATAGATCATTATATAGCCTTACTGAACTATATATATATAATCCAATTGATGCAGGCATGCAGCTTATATTTACTTTCATGATGAGGAAAGTGGGGAACCTCTTGAAGGCTGCCAACACTTCCATATGATTTTTACCATCTTTGACGTCCAGCTCTTGTCTGTTTGTTTCACAACCCTTGTTCAGTTGTCACCGAATAGTCGTATGTTTGCTAGTTTTAAATAAATGTTGTTGTTTATATGAACTTTTATATTTGGTGTCTGTCTCTATGAGCTTTGTTTTTATAGGAATTTTCCATTTCAGCTGAGTTGTTTGATAAAACTCTTGATCGCACCCTGCAATGCAGCTCTTGGGACCTTTTTAATGATGTAACACAGCATGTTGGTGAGAACAGATCCTACTGGAAACAATGGATTTTCTCACAGCCATGCATTTGTTTACGCTGGAAAATGTAACAAAATGCATCTGATGTGAATGAGCCCTTCAGTTTAATAACTGGGTGACCCACTCGGGAAAAGACCATCAGAGTTGTAGACCTTTTTGTCATATTATGTATAAAACACCAAGTCACCAGCCAGGGATGTCTGCTTATTTTAAATGCCAAATATGATGTAACAGTTTACTGGGTTTAGTTCTTCACAACAATGTTTGGATGATTTTCAGTCTGTTATCAGTCTTATGAGACACATGGTATGAATATTTGAAACAGGCAGCTCTGGAATAGTATGTTGCAATATGGTTAGGATGTTTTTATGTACTTGGTATGGTTTTCATTTCTGTGAGTTGTAAAAAAAACAAAACGCAGAAACTTGTGTCCTGTATGTCAACAAAGAGCTCATCCATCTCTGTGATGAACATGCATCATTGCCCAGTGACATTCTTCTGAACAATGAGAAAATGCAGTGTGTGATGGACATTTGGGTTTTATAGAAGTGCAAGCAATATCTGCTGTTGGGGATGACCAGAGATGAGTTGTCTCCTTGGTGACCTGTGCAGTTTTTTTGCTGATGTGGGGTGAGCACTACTGGGGGAGTTGCTTTCATTAGCAGTAATATGGATAGAGGTTTTTATTCTTCTATTTATTTTCTGCAGTATTAAAGGAGACCTTTAGGCAAGCAGCAGCGAAAAAGTTGAAAAGTAGATTTGTACAAACTCTTTTACCTGCCAAAAGATTTGTAATTCTGCTCTACCATTTTTTAGATTCATGTACCCTTGCAAGACAGCAGAACCAGGTCTATGCTTTTCTCCTCTGCAGTAAAAAAAAAAAACTTGGTCAAGTATTTGCTCCAACCTGTAATTGGACAACAAAGGGGCATCAGCACATTGATAGGGTCATCACTCCGCAGTTTTCTTTTATCAGCAATCTCTGTGTAAGATTTATAGCACTGCTGTAGACATGGTGCTGCCCTTCTCCAGCAGACCTGATACACAGGGGATTACAGGAGGTTAATATAAACAGTGGTACTGTTTTAAAAGTGTTCATTTTTTTTATTGAATATATTATGTTATTTAATATGAATGATTTATATCCGCCTTTAGTTCTGCTTTAACCTAATAATTGGGTGTCATAGCTCTTAGCATTGCTAAATACTTAGCAAGGTTTGTTTTGTTATTTTACAAACAATATGACTATTGAAAGATCATTCATGTGATCATCCCACATTTCTGCAGGGTTGGTAATTCCATCGAATCCACAGTATGCAGTTATCAACTGAAGGTATTAACAGTGCGCTCATAGGCCAAACTAAAATTTGTTTAGGCCACCAGACTTTTCTAAGACGGCTTGCTACATATACATATAGCTTGAACAGTAAATGCGTGATCTCTAACAATTTAATTCAAGGCTGGACAAATCCCAGGAGCCAGGTAGAAAATGCTCCTTATTAATGACAGCTGGTGCCTAACTTTCCAGGTTTTCTCTAGTTGTCAATGCAGCTGGCTTCTAAAAATCCTACTGGCTGCTGAATCCCATAATAATTTGCTCATTCTTGACTTTGTGGATTTGGTTATTTTAGGAATAAACTCTAGTGATGTTAAGGCTAAGACATCTTCTGCACTAGGCTCTTAGTGGTCAATGAATTATCCAATGTGGAGGCCTTAAATGATGGACTCCTGGTTTTCTAAATGAAAAACCTGTCCACCATGCTGACCAAAATATTACTGGTTCCTCAGTCACGGTAGGGGTGGGGGGTTAGATGATCTAAGAAAATTTCCATTGTATATACAAATAGAAGAATGGAGTCTGTCATGAGAAAGCCAGAACTAAGGGGAGCCTTATAAGTTTGGACATGACTGACTCGTTGATATTTCCCTTAGGCTCTTTTCCCAGAGCAGTGCTGAAGAGCACAAGACCATGGCTAATGTGTTATTGCTTTGGCAGTTTGCTAGTTGCCAAATAATGCCAGCTAGTTTTTAAAAGATTCTGATACAGTAAAGGCCGATTTTTATGTAATAGGTGTCGTCATGTTTTTATTTGTGTTGAGCTGTGTTTTGAAACCAATCAAGATATAGAATTTACTACTTTTAAAAATGTAGGAAATCTAGTTTTATGACCAGTGAGCTTTTGGAAAGTACTTCGGGGCCTCTGCAGGTCTGTTTTTCTTTAGCTGAGATGGCAAAGGTGTCATTATCATTTTATTAGTGACACTAAACTCAGGAGTTACATCTTAAAAATGCATTCAAGTACCATAACTATTAGCTTGCATTCACACCTAAGTGTCAGCATTTTTGCCTAGCCCATATCACTAATTTTTGCACATTTTTATGTGCGTTAAACACGCGCGCATGAAGACGTTCGCTTGACTGTCAGATCAGGGACATTGCAGTCAATGTGGAAACGCGTGTAGAAATGCCCCAAAGAAGCTCAGGAACTTTTTTTGAGTGACACAAATGGGTGTGAATGGGGGGCCATTGAAATGAATGGGAATTTATGTGCTGACTTAAAGGAGAATTATGAGGCGAGTGATTTTCACTCAGCCTCATAATCTGAGCCGACTTGTGACAATGAAACTGTCACAGGTCGGCTCAGTAGATCGGGTAGTGAGCAAACACATACCGGCACTCACTCACTTCTCGATCCTGTGCTGGCAGAGAGCCGTGACAGGGGAGGGACTGGATTCCCCCCTCCCCTGTCCGATCCTCCAGCACTGACTGGCGGAACGGACAGGAAAAGGGGGCGGGTACAGCTGGCTCTGCCTCTAGATAGGCAGATCCAGCTGTCACTCACGCAGCTGGGTGGATCCAGACATAATTGTTGGGATCCGTTCCCGCTGCGACGTCTCAGTATACTGCGAGCTGTAGCTTGCGGTATACTGAGCTTTGGGTGACGGGAGGACGGTAGTTTGTGTCCTCCC